GTCATTTCAAATGTAGCTTCCTATTGGACATCTTAACTGTCAATATCACAGACTTCGATGCTGTTTCCTATTCGACCTTAATGTATAAATACGCATTATTTGTAACGTTTTATGACCACGACCAGGACCAGGACCCGGTCCCGGATACCTAGTCCGGGATCCTGATTCTCTTCTTGATTCGGACCTCGTACTTTCTGGATGCTTGTAGAATACAGGTTCTACTTCACATTCAAGTCTTCATATTTTAACTAAATATGGGGGTTGGGATAGTCGAATTTGAGTAGCATGTCGTGTCGCCGGATCCTCGATCCTCGCTCTCGTTTTTCCGACTAGGCAAACTCGTAATAGTTCAAGTATATCAAGTTGACGTGTTTACGTGCAGGCGTAACAAAAACATTCTAAAATTATTGGGGCTTTTCATTTTCCGATATTGAGTGATTGAATTCTGTTTGGTCGTCATCAAGGACACTTTGGGTTACACTTGAAATACAATGATTTTAAAGCACCAGACGATCTGAAACAGATCACTTTCATTTGTCAATGACATTCATAACGGGTTGATATTATTTGTAGTACAATCCAAAAGCTGACTCATCAAAGAATGAATAGATCTGTTCAGGAGTGTATACACCAAAAGCATCACCTATAACAAAATTTAAGATTAGTCAATCATTTCACAAAACTATCGATCCGTACTATTGACCAAATGTATCTGAATGCCAACATAACTGAACTATACCAGTCATAGCTTCAGAAATTCATGTATCCACCTCGAATAAAGTCATATAAGTGAACATAGTGAGGTTAGATTGAATTTAGTCTTTACCATGCACACTAATACGGTAGACTGGTTGTTGTAACGCTTGTTTGAATAATTCCCAGCTAATTCCTATTGCTTAGTATTCTCTGACCATAATACACTGGACAAGTTCCAAAGAATCAAGAACACGGTGGAACAGGAAAAGATTATATTCCAAATAGCAAGGTTAGATGGAAATACGAAGCCGAAGCCGAAGGAAAAATAGATACAACGTTAGTCTCTTTATAGTCTTTACACGAGAAGCTTCTGGATAGTAATTCACGTGATCGACTGGATTAGATCTAACCAATCAGCACGCAGCTAACGATACGAGAATTTTCTACCTTGTTTTCCAAGAATCGATCAGGCGCTGATTGGATAGGAAATTAGCCAATCAGCGCGTAGCAACGTGCTCATGCTTTAATTCCATCTATGTCCAACTAACACTGGTTGATCCAGAAAGTACTTAATTCATCAGTGTATGTACTGGTGAACTGATCGATTCACAAATCGTGTTGATACAGTCATAATTGATTGAGTTTGAAATGATTGTTCAGATCACCCAAATCAATGAGGTATAAAACAAGAGAGTTGCAAAATGCAAAATATCCAAATCGATTTTACAATTATTATTATTTAAGAAATCGAAATTCAATAGTAGTCAATATGATTTCTAGAAGAATTTTTCTTTGAACCAATGAAATTTTAAAATTATGATTGCATTGATTGAACTTATATTTAGAACAAAACAAAGCAGTACCGAATCAAAATACGCATTACGCACACTGAAATAATACTACTGACGTAGAGAATCAAAAATGGGAAAGTTAGCTAGAAATTAAAGTTTATTGACTAGCATAAGTGACGAAAGACATTGTTGTATGCGAAAGTCTACATAACTATTACTGAACAGTAGTACTACAATATCACTAGTAACTTTGGTGTCTGAACGAAATATGACGAATTCTCAAGTTATTGAGTATTTGCGATTCTCCTTTCGTGGAGTCATAACGATACAACGATTATCACAGTGCATTACAGAACTGTTACCTCAGCATTTGTAGGGTGTTTGGAATTCGTTCAGCACTAAGAAAGACCTAATATTGCTTACTACCCAGTGATGAATCAATGGCAAATGCATTTCAGTCCAGTAGCATGTCAGTGGTAGCTCGGATAGCTCAGTGGTAACGTCTCTGACTGTAAAGGTGGATGGAACCAAATCGAATCCACCAAAGAGCATCGGAAGTCTCAAGATTACAGATTACATCTTACTGACGAGTATCAAATAGCAAGAAATATAGGTACAGGGTTCACTGGCTGCGTTAAATTCAAAGTAGGATTCACCACTTTGATGGCCGGCAATAGGACTCCAGTTAGAACGATCGACTGAGTATGCTATGAAATAAATCCTCCCTTCAGTTTCCCTAAATCATACTTAGGCGAACTCAGTTAGTACAGCTGCGGTAATAAGAACTCAGATACAGTTGTGCAGATGAATTGATTTCATCAGACGGATGAGAATTAAAAGCGTGCAAGCAAAGCGAAGGTAATCGGAGATGGCGATCGAGCCATGACTAAGTACTTATAGTCAAACAAACATAAGCTAGACATGTGATAAGCGGAGTAGGACACACACGAATGAAAACAACCACGACAGAAGCGAATAATTGGCAAGGTCGAAAGATGAGTGAATAATTACTCGAGAAGAATGGATTAATGAATTTGTCCAAAGGCTGGGACAAGCGCAATCGGGCTTGATGTATTAGTATACCACACAGTACGAGGGCAAAGAGAAATTTTTATGGACAATAATGACTCAGGTGTCATCGCTTCGAAAATTGCAGTTTACTCAAACATTTTCATTAGAGTAGAGAGTTATTCACACTACAAATATATACATATGTCAGATTTGTTACTGATATACACAGTTCAAACTGACTTTATTCACTAACAATACCACTAGAAGCAGATTGATCTTTTGTGATGTGACATTATCACTCAGACAAATTTGCCATTTTATATGTGTATGATAATTACAATGGTTGCATGCTTTAACACTGCGTTATTAATCAATAATCTTAAAGAAAACAACTCGTATATACGAATTTTCCCACACGTTTTGACAATGAATCCATGTGCTATTTTAAGGCTATCATTATTCAAATCCTTTAGTCATGACAAGAATACTTGCATACAAACAAAATAACGTATTATATAACGAACACTAATATTATTACGTCATTAGAAAAAAAAGTTAACTGTTCAATATGATTAGAAATATCATTTCTGACAAATAACAATCTATTTTGTGATTTCGAAATGGTTCACATTGCGTAAATTCAATCCTTTCTATTTGCATAAACCGGTTATCAATCTAAATGCATATCATCATCTTAAATGATCGACAGATCACCAAATCAATGTGATAAGATCATTCTGTGATGATGAAATAATACACATCCACGTAGGTTGGTGGCTTTCTTCAAATACTGTTTCACTGAGACATTTACAGTGGAGTTTCGTGCTCTGAACAAAATAGTTTGGTTTTAGAGCTCTAATTGTTCTTGTGAAAAACATCATCAGCATACACTTCAGGCAGAAGTGATGTGTTCAAATTCTTTCACACATAACTCGTATCTTGTCCAGTCAATCTCGATCTTGATTGGTTGTTATTGAACTTTAACCCATGGTTGTCTGCATCTTTATTTTGATAGTATCCGCCTTTGATCTGATTCTTGATTCTATCTTTGTTAGTGATTTTTCAGATTGCTTGGTAAATTGGATCGATTTCAAACACTTCAGTTCTACCTGAAGTTTGTGTTGATGATGTAATTCGGAAGAACAGTGAAAGCTTCACAACCAAACTATCCAGCTCGAACAATGAAACTCCATCATAGTCATCCACCCGAGCTACAAATTTTCGTCACCATCTCAATATTAAATTATATCAATGCACAAAGATGACTCCACCTGGAACCCGTCTCAGGTCACTGACTGTCCGAAGCTCGCATAAAGTAGGATCGTTGGTCAAGGGGGTTATCAACCTAATCCCGAACTAAAAAACACCTACCACAAAAGTTCATTCAAACCATTCAGTTAGTACAAGAATAACAGTAAGATGAATTTAACCGTTTAACATGAGTCACTGACAACATACCATGTAGTTATTTTATTATCATACCGATTCAGTCAAAATGAAAATCACCACATTGAGATCTACACATTCTAATTTAGCTTTAAACATGAATGATATTGAAATTCACTTAGTCAAAAATGAATATTCCGTTGTCAGTCAGATGCAACGTGGAACTTCGTACGTAAGTACATCAGTTCATGTCGCCATACCACATCAGCACAGAGATGTAATTGTCAATTCAAATCCAATAGTAGAAGAGGTTGTAAAAGTATTAGAAGTAATCCGAGAGGTTAGGAAGTATGATTCAGTGAGATAAGTTTAGAAAGTCAAAACTAGAGGTGAAGATTAGGATTTGAGAGAACACAAAGAATAAATGCACCGGCCCCATTGAGAACGATTTTGAGCCATATCATTCAAGGTCTCTAACCATCGATTATTATTATCTCGCAGACCCCAACCAGGTAGTCGACAATTACCAACACGGTTAAGTTCACTCGTCAATGACTTCATGGATTTCTGCCATGTTTTGGTTTGGCCGCCCCTAACTTTCTTCCAACCCATTCCTACACTACAAAACAAAGCCCGTTGAGGCAAACAGTAAGCAATAACAAAAGGACAACCTATACACTCAGCGAACAAAAATGTGAAAGGCTTCACAAACAAACACACACATATATATATGTATAAATATTTATATTTATTTTTATATAAATTGGGTATCGGGTTGTCATTTACAATAATCAAAAATCGAAAACAAACAAAATTATTGAATATTGAACACTGTGATTTGATGAATTGAACAAAATAGAACAAACTTATAAGACAATAAACAAAAATATCTCAATATATATTAATATCACACAATAAAATTGTTTAAAATTGAAAACAAAAAAAGAACACAGCAAGATGATGACAGTAGAAGTAGTAGTAACAACAACAACAGCAAGTATGTCGAGATAAACAGTAACAATAGAATTTACAAATAGACAAGTTGTTGTTTGTTTTTTTTCCAGGAAAAAAATAGATTCTCTCAATAAAAACATTATCATTTATTTCATATCTTGATTAGATTTGCTCATTCACATGATATGGATATTTGTTCATTTCAATGAAATAATCTTCTAAATTCAATAAACCATTGATATATTCCTGTGACATTGAACAACATGTAAACAAACAGAGAATTGGAAAAAAAATGTTAATTGATAAATTGTTTACGAAAATATTACTATTATAATTAATGCTACTACTTATGTGACTCATCTTCTATCTGGGCAGCATCATTGACGAGCAAGAATGGATCTAATGCAGATGTGAAGGAGCGGATCGGAAAAGCAAGAGTTGCATTTCTATAATTAAACAACATGTGGGACTTAAAACAACTATCAACAAACATCAAAGTCACAACTCTCAATATAAATGTCAAGAGAGTTCTAGTGCACGGGGGTAAACATGGAGAACCACGAAAGCCATCATTCATAAGATACACGTGTTTGTTAATAGTTGACTACACAAAGTACTTCAGATCCGCTGGCCAGACAATATCAGAAACAACCTAACCTGAGAGAGAATAAACCAGATTCCAGCCGAGGAGGAAGTCAAAAAGAAGCGCTGGAAGTGGATAGAACACACACTTCAAAAAAGTACCCAACTGCGTCACAATACAAGTCCTCACTTGGAACCCTCCAGAATAGAGGAATAGAGTAAGGCCAAGGAGCAGATTACGCCAAGAAATGGAGACAGACATGAGAAGAATGCATAAAAATTGGATAGAACTAGAAAGGGAAGCTAAGGACAGAGTAGTTTGGAGAATACTGGTCGGCAGCCTATGCTCCAATGGGGCTAACAGGCGTAAGTAAGTAATTAAGTGATGTTACTCACAGATGTGATCAGTTATGGATCATATTCTTGAAGTCACCATTGCACAACAATGTAATGGGATTTTTTTTCACAGAAAAAAGCAGTTGTTATAAAAGTGTTTAACCACTCGTTGTATCAGTCAGAATTTACTGAGGAAAAATATGTACTACACAAACAGTTTTCAACGGTCACATGAATCGATTTGAAGAAAACACTACTTGATTTACACACTACAGGTTGAAGAGATTATTTATTCAAGCGACGTTACATGCAACAACTTATTGCAACAATCATTATACTCTCCTAACTAGATGCTTGCGTATGAGAAATTTGGATTTGAAATGATAATTCGATATCGGTGTGTTAATGTAGTATCGCAACTTGAACTGATGTATATGTATGAACGCAGTGGTACATTGTAGGTGATTGACTGACTGACTGACTGAGTTAGTCAATCATTATCAACATGGTATTTGCTATGAGGCTGTGACGAACTAAGTTGCCATGATCTCACAACATTAGTACAGTGAGGAATTTAAACAAAATAGATGTGCTCATTAGTGACTAGCTCCGTAAAGAAATTTTCGAGGTTCAAGTGAGAAGTACTGACTAGTGCAGTTCAACCCCATTCGAGTGTAGACAGTAACTACCAGAGACAATGGGTGGGTTTGTTCAAAATCCTTAGATTGATCACAGTTAGACATTAAGACCGCTGGATGCCGGCTCAGTGTTCCGAAGGTTATTTGTTTGCGCACACGACCGAAAGTTCTCGGTTCAAAACCTGCGAGTACCAGGAGTCGTGGATGCGCACTGAGTACAAGTCCCATACCAGGACGAAACGGCCGTCCAATGCTTCCAGGTTTCTAATGATAGTCTAACAACGATTCACTCATGATTTCAATGTGTGTCCAACCAAATCGGTTTTACTACTGACAATATCTCAAATATAATAATCAATGATTTTATTGACTGACTGATAGCATGTTTTAAATTGACCACTTTTCTTTTCAACTTTGTTTTAATTTACTTTAATTCATCCAAAAAAATTGTATTCAACAACATAAGGTGTAACTTGACCTTTACATGTTTCTTTTCAGTCTAATTTTTTAATTCAATCGGTTTATGCTTAGTAAGCAGCATAGGTTAGTTATATGTTAATTATAACATCAAAATTAATGAGTTCAAACATTTCCTGAAGTCAATAAAAATTTTTTATAGGCATTAAACTATTATTACCTAACACATACAATGGACAAACAACTGATTGATATATATATTTATAGAACAATACTAATCAGAAGAAATCTTGTCTGATATAACAAAGTAAAGTGTCACTAGTATACTAGTATACTGTAATATACTGTCAAGATATGTATGGCTTTGTCTATAACTAACTACCTACAGAATGTTAGTAGTGTTGCAATAAATTAGTTGTAATTTGTATGATTATCAGTTTGTATAAATATGTCCTATGCTCCATTTGGAGCATAGATCGCCAATCAACATTCTCCAACCTACTCAGTCATGATGAACTTTCCTTTCCAGTTCTACCCTATTCTTGTTCATTCTTTCCATGTTTACTTTCAATTCTCATCGTAATGTGTTCCTTAGTCTCCCTCTCTTAGCCTTGAGGATTCTAAGTGAGGGCTTGTCTTGTGATAAAGTTGGGCGCTTTCATCATTGTGTGTCCTCCTATCTACTTCCAGAACTTGCTCATAATTTTTTCCTCTTCTGAGATCTGGTTTGTTCTACCCCTTAGTAAGTAGTTACTAATGGTGTCTGGCCAATGGATCCGAAATGTTTTGGGGAGATAACTGTTAATAAACATTTGTATCTTGTAGATGATGGCTTTGTTAGTTCTCCGAATTTCCACCGCGCACAGTAGAACTGTTTTGACATTTGTAATGAGTTGCAGATGTTCTTCAGTTGTAGGAAGGCTGCCCTTGCTTTGCCAACCCACGCCTTCGTATTTGCCCCAGACCCTCCTTGTTCATTAGTGAGGCTGCCCACATATGTAAAGGCTTTCACATCTTTCAAAGCTTCTCCGTCAAATGTTATTCGGTTGGTGTATGTTGTGTTATACCGAATGATCTTAATTTTTCTTTTGTGCATGTTGAGGTGTACTGAAGCAGAAGGTGCTTCTACAATAGCCGTATTCTTTTGCATTTGTTGTAATGTGTGCGATAGGAGAGCCAGATCATTTGTGACATTTAGATCCTCCCACTGCATCCTAGCTGTCCATTGTATCCCATGCTTCCCGCCAGATTTTGATGTCCTCATAATCCAGTCGATCACCATGAGAAAGAGAAAGAGTGAGAGTACACGACTTTGCCTGATATCACTCTTCACTTGGAACTAGTATGAGAACTGTCCTTTATGCACAATTTCGCGTGTAAATCCATCATAAAAATTGCGTATGATGTTGACTGTCTTCTCAGGCATGCCATAGTGTCATTCTGTTCACGTTATCAAATGCTCTTTTGTAGTTAATACAGTTTATGTAGATTGTGTAGCATTCCATTCATATGACTGTTCCACAATGATCCATAGTGTCACGGTTCGGTAAGTACATGATCGATTCTTACGAAATCCAGCCTGTTGTCTAATAATATTACACGATACCAATATATATCATTTAAATTACAAGAATTTAGCTTTCCAAATTAGTCCCTACGGCGCTGAACTTTAAATCTCACACCATGAAGTAATTTTCATGAAGTAACTACATGAAAACAAGAAATGCTACACAGTGATTTATCTCTAGTATGGAGATCATCTTTCATGTGTATCCACTAGCCTCATTAAGCATTGAATACAGAACTTTAAAGTCTCACAACAAGCGGCTCACTCTCATAAAGTTACCATCTTCATTAGTAATAATAATAGCCAAATAAAATAACCAATAACAATTATAACAGTATCACAAAAATAACATACATCAGATGGAATAGGCGGCCCAGTACCATCCAAATCACAATTACATGGTAGTAGATGTGGAGGAATTGCAGCATGAAGACTTTCTAATGATTTATTATGTATAATAACCTGTTAAATATATTTAAAACATGTAATCATTCACTTTTCCAGTCAGTATACAAGTAAACAAAAATTAATCCAACTTATTATGTATGTTAAAAAAGAATGAAAATACTTTTTTCCCAAAGAAAAAAATTTGTACATTTTCAAATCATGAAACAAACAGAAAAAACAACACAGTTGAGAGAATAATTATGGTTACATTGTCTAACTTTAATTGTACTAATTGAATTTATAAATTTATATAAACAATCTGATTGATTTATTCTACTATGTGACTTGTTATTTTGATTGTGCAGAAAAAAACCATTCACACAATTGAACATTTAATATCTGACTTATTACGAAATAGTCAATAAGTCAAATCCTGTCTCTACTGTTTATATAAATATGCTGATATTTATGTTCGCGCACAATACCGAAGGTCCTGGGTTCGAATCCTGCGGGCTGCAGGAGTCGTGGATGCACACTGCTGAGGAGTCCCATACCAGGACGAAACGGCCGTCCAGTGCTTCCAGGTTTCTAATGGTGGTCTAACATTGATCGGTTCATGGTTTCAAAAATGTGATATTTATGTGTCTGAATTTCATTCAAACAATGTACACACGCTTAAGACGTGCTTGCTATTAATAATGTGTCACTCAATTTTCGATAGATTGAGCAATGAAAATGCATAAGTTTAAATCGCTGCTTTGTAACGCATTCGAAACCGAACTCTATTATCTCTTAGTTTCGTTTATCAGTTTGTCTTAATCTCACACTGGCCTTATATCTGATTGCTGTCTATTTATTCGTACATTGCATGTAAGTGCATTATTCTATGTGCTTGCTTACTGAGTCATCGGCTCATCTTTTTCTCTTGTTGTTTCTTCTTCCAGATAATCTCATACGCTGCTCCTCACAACCCCCCCCCCTAGCACATAAGGTACCTTCGGGTTAAACGCAAACCAACCAAAGGCTGAAGTTACAGCTTCTCTTAGTTAATAAAACTACATTGAATCTGATATCCATATTATGTGTGCCTAAGTATTCTATTCTTGTTTTAATTATCGGTGAATTTATTTTTGTACTTTTTCAACAAGTTACTTCATTTCATAAAATAAAAATTGTTTGAAAATGTTGTTACTGATCTTCCTAGAGAATGACAAAAATGTTTATTGTAAACGATTACTTTTTTGCCTTTAGTTATACAAACAAATGAAATATTGCTGTCACACAATCGCAATAGACTTTTATTTATGCATAGGCTGATGAGTCTGTTTTCATCTTATTCCCTGTCATTAGACTAAACTCAAAGCCTGGAATATATGGGTACGGACAGTCCACCTAGCTGAGTTGGAATACCCTCATTCTAAACTCATGGTGCAGGATCCTGATGGAACGAATGGCGTACAAACCTTTTTCTGATTACCGGCTGCTATAGGACTGCATCGCCTGAAGCTGCTCTACTGCCTTGTGAAATAGTTCTCCGAGTCGAAAGCGGTCCGACACCCAGAGAGTATTCCAGCCCAAATACAAAGTCATTGATTTGTGTGAAATATAAATATTTAGGTATCTCTTTGCACTAATAATTGTGTTTATATAATGAATAAGAGTAACGGCAAAATGCTCATTAACTCAATTTACCATACTAAATCAATACAACGAGGTGAATATAACAAGATGAACTACTAGAAATAACTGTAAAAAACAATGTAACTATGAAAGACTAAACAATAACAGTTGGGTTTGTAAAAACACTGAGAAAAGTTATGTTAATCAGTCAGTTGCAACGTAGAACTTGGTACGTGCCTAATTCCGTTCACGTTGTGATACCACATTAGCGTAGAAAGATGAAAAGGTCATAGTTTTAGTGGGAGGATCGAAGATACAATTTATGAAAACATAAATCACTGAAAATAAAAAAAAATTATAAGGAATTCCGAAGCTTAGCATCTGAAGGATGGCAAAGAATGGATGTACTTGAATCATTGTAAACGATATCAAATCATATCATTTAAAGTCTGTAATCACTACTAACAATTATCATGTGCAGTCCAACTAAGAGGTAGTCTACACCTACTGCTGTGGTCCAATGAAAATGTCAACAATTTCATGAATTGATGCCACATGTATGAAAGAAATATCTGAGTTTTAGACAGACAGATACAACGCAGAACTTCGTATATAAGTACATCAGTTGAGGTTGACATGCCCCATCAGCACACAGACGCAACTGTCAGTTTAAATCCAACAGTGATAGTGATAGTAGAAGTATTAGCAGTAATGGAGAAGATTAGGGAACGAAGATATGATTCGAGGAGTATAATTCAGTCAGATAAATTTAGAAGGAGAAAGATAGAGATTATGAAGAGTGCAGAAGGTTAGAGTTTGAAAGCACATAAAGAGTGGATGCACCTGCGCCATTGCAAACGATTCTGAGCCGTGTCGTTCAACTGAGTTTCAGATTTACAATATGATCAAACAAACAAACTAATTCATGACCAATTGATGACCATGATCATTCAATCTCTACCAAATTCTAATTATAGTTTTCGTACTGTAGCCACAATCAGATAGTCTTAGTTTGTTGACCATGGTTGATGGTGATCAAATGTCAAGTTGTAAATTCGAACCTCTATGAGTTCATTTAACTTTCAGGCTGTAACAAACATTATGACTCATCTTTCACATTGACAACAAACATACACACACTAAAAACTTCAAGTACACAAATTTTTTACTTTAAACTGAATAACACTAATATTACTAATTCAACTTTACCAAACAGTATTTATATCAGTCATTTTAAACAAATCATTATTGAATGTTGATCATATTGATTTCACAATTGAGTACATATTTTCTTTTAATCAATTCATACTTTGTGGGAGTATTGAACATTGTTAATAGTAATCATGATTGTAACTTTTAAATCACTCAAAAGATGAATTGAAGAAGTATTTTATTGATTATTCTTGTCAACAAATCAAATGTTTTATAAGAGTGTTGAAAAAAAAGTCATAGGTTATTGGTTTATTTATTACATGACATTATTTTCTTCAAATTCCCTAATCTCTTGTAATAAAAAGGTCATTTAGTCCATATAGATTACATTGTGATCCTCCAATATTGATAATCCTGATTATAGAGAGTAGGGAAATCTTAGTTTAAAGAAGGTTATAACTCACGATTGTGTGAGTTACCTTCTATACTCTATGTAGAAAGAAAGTCGAGAACTAAAAAGAGACATCGGTCGCGGACAATTCTTTCTGATATAAGATAAAGTATGTATAACTGACAATCAGTCACAAGAAACAACTGACCAAGAACTAATATCGACTATGAAATGTCAGTTAATCATACAAAGTTTAAGTTCTTCAATTTAAATTGACAAGATTGTTTACAATCAATGATCTGAATATTTCTTTTTACCATAATAGCTAGATAGACAGAGAGATAAACGGAAACTTAGGTTACTTACTTGTTACCAATCAGTCAGAGTAGAGCTTAGTACGCACAAACGTAAATCAGTTCAAGTTGCCATACCACATTAATACACAGAGATGCAATCGTCAATTCGAACCCTATAGTAGTAGGGGCACTAATCAAAAAGATTAGGGTTCAAAGATCATATTCAAGGAGTATAATCAAGTGAAATAAACTTTAAAAAAAGAGAAAGATAAAGGTGATGAGGAATTCAGAAGATTAGAATTTCACAGAAGACAAGGAATGAATGCACCTACACCAATGCAACAGATTTCGAGCAATGTTATTCAACGTCCCTTATCATCGATTATCATTGTTTCGCGGACCCTAACGAAGTAGTCTATACCTACCAACATAGTGAATGTTCAAATGTCAGTGAATTCATGTACTGGTTTGGTCTGCTACCAATAAATTACTTTTCAAGTTGTATTCCAGTAATACTTTAGTGAAGGAGAACACAGGTGAGGGTAACCGATTTGTATTTATCTCAATTTACAGAGTTAATTAGTAAAATAGGAAAACCATATCGTAAATAGTTCATTTGCAAAATATCAATCCATCATATCGAACTGGACTGTTCCTGTTGCAAAACATCAATCCATTGTCACTATTCATGCGTTTCATACAAATACCATTGTGTTCCCACTCTTCTTCCTTTCTCTTGATCTTCCCCCATCTTCCGCTGCCAGACATTACGTTTTTACTCGCGTCATAAACTACTTATAGGTAGCGCGCACCACAATACCAGACAGAATTACACGAAATTTAGGATAGTTAAAATATACTAGTTTGTAAACATTATGTTAGCTATGATTAAGTCTAAATCTACATAAAAAAAGGAATTCAGGGATAATAAGTAGAGTGAAACCTAAATTCCTAATGATCAGATAATCTAATTTTAATTTGGTTTTATTAAAAAAAAAGATGAATTATTATCGATATGATACAATTGTTACAACTATTTTTCCAAGAAAGAAATTAAATCTTGAAATTATTCAATTCTATAGAAGAATGAAAAACTATAGAGCTATAACTATATACATCATGATAACAATAATAATTCACATTGAATATTGAACAGAATAGAATTGATCGATCAATTTTATTCAGTTTTTCACTGGACCATACATATACTACCACCAACCAATCGTTATCATTGTTTCATAAAATTCACATTATCAATTACATTTGATTTGTACTTTCTAAGTAAAAAAAATACACCGACCATACCTACTCGAATGTTAAAAATCAAATTAGATGAAGTGAGATTTAAACTTGTGATCATATTGTTTGAAGAATGAGTTGGCTTAACATCTCTTCATTAACTATTTGTTCAATGTGAAGATATTCATGATTAAAATAATTGTAATTATGTTAGATATTCAAACTTCAACAACTATTGTTCAATTGTGAAAGTCATGGTAGAGGCGTGGAGATAAGAAAGATGCTAGGAAGTTTAGGATGGATTTGATTGTGACCGATTTGGTCTCATGTGTTATTGCGGGTATGAGAGCTGATATCACTTCCCGGCTGACCACACCATGGGAAGATGTTTCTTGAGGAACCTCAAAGAGAAGGTAGATTAATGTTGGTCTTAGAGACCTGAGAGCATGACCGCAGACACCAAGGGATAACTGCTTGAGACTGGTCACGCACGGCCTTTTTATGGGCAGTATTTAAATTGTTAGCTCCGTTCTTGTTTAGAAGGCCTTACCACCGGAGACGGATATGTGTGAGGTAAGGTGAGGAGTGACAATTTTAGGTTTCTAACCTCTTCCTTCCTCGTGAGAAGGCAACATCGCTACAGATGCTGCTTGTCCGAAGGAGACACATTACTGCTTACACACCTCTCTACAGTCAGCAGTAAGACTTCGCCCTCACACCTTGAGTTGCTGCTTTTAGTCTTACTGTTCCTCCAATCGACCTGCCTGCTGTGATAGAACCTACAGGAACATATGTTCCAGCCAATATTGCTCGGTTGGGTCATCATGATAGGCAAGCCTGACCACCACGTCAAGGTAGCAGCTACGATCGGGTATGAACCAGATTATTTCCTAGCAAGCAATCAGGATAATGATATATGCTTAAATTTTACTGAGATAACATATATTGTTCGATTAGTAGATAGATTGTGTAGCATATCTTGCAATCTTGATTAAAAATCAAATCATTTTTTCTCATTCATTGTTAAAATATAACCAACATTTATAAATGTACTTTTTTATATGCATAGTAGTTTTCATTTTAAAATCGATATTACACATTAGTATGCTTATTTTTATGATTAATTAATTAATTAAACGTGTAGTGAATTGTTTTGAAGAAAAAAAGTTTCTCAACATTATATTGTTGTTGAGTAATAATTCTACTCCTGATCTTCTGTGTACTACTTCAATTCATCACGTATTTTTCTGAGTAGTAATAAACAGAAGCTGTTTTTTTTATCTAAGAATTCATATTTATGTATCCTGAAGAGTAAATAATAAGGAATTTAGAATTAAAAAGACAATGAATTATTGACATTTTGAACAAATAAACATTATGAATAGAATAAATCAGGATTTTCAATACAAATGTCAAGACAGAGTTCTAATGTATGGAGTGGAAACTTGGAGAACTATCAAAGCCATCATGCAGAAGATACAAGTGTTTAATAACAGTTGTTTACGCAAAATACTTCGGATTCGTTGGCCAGACACCATCAGTAACAACGTAATGTGAGAGGAGGAAATCAGGAAGAAGCGGTGGAAGTGGAAAGGACACACCTAACTGCGTCACGAGACAAGCCCTCACATGGAACCCTCAAGGCAAAAGGAAAACAGGAAGGCCATAGAACACATTACGCCGAGAAATAGAGAAAGATATGAGAAGGTTGAACAAAAATTGGACAGAACTAGAAAGGGAAGCACAGGACAGAGTTGGTTGGAGAAAACTGGTGGGTGGCCTATGCTCCATTGTGGGTAACAGGCGTAAGTAAGTAAATCATGTAGTGAGCTAATTAGACTTGATCAAATGTAAGAAGCTCATTGATCGATAAGTAGAAATGCCCTAAAAGACGAATATATATTATTGGCCAAGAAATGGATTGATTTTCTGAGGGGAAGGAATGTATATATACAAACATATGTACAAATGAGTATTAATGTACAATGTTCGGCAGCTGATTAGACACACATCTATTGTTTGTCTTCTTGCTCGCTAATTAAAAAAATTATTTACCAATCAAGAGATATAATAGTTGATAATGTTAGGGTTAATAATCAAAGTCTGATAAAAGTTTGTCTAGCATTATCAATTTATTTTTTCCCATAAAATAAACATGTTGACAATATTTATTTGCATGACAGGGTTGTGAAGATTGTTGAGTTACTTTTTTTTAAATCATGAATCGATCAATTTTAGACCATCAGCATTAGAAACCTGCAAGCACAACCAAATACTGTAAATTAGATGGGCTCACAGGTGAGTAGTTCCGTGCGGAAGTTTCTCCGAGTTAAATAGTGAGAAGTCGTGACCAGTGTAGTTCAACCCAGTTCTAGCGTGAAGCACTACTCACCGAAGATGAGGTTGCGCAAAGCCATGGATTGATTGAAGTTAGATACCAGCTCAGGTTAGGTGTACGCGCGCACGACTAAAAGTCCTGGATTCGAATCCTGCGAGTTTCAGGAGTTGTGGATGCGCACTGCTGATATGTTCCATGCCAGGACAAAACGGCCGTTTAATGCCTCCAGGTTTCTAATAGCGGTCTAACATTCAAGATTTCAAAAACAATATCTGTACCGATTAACTATTAACAAATAGTGCTATCCATAATCCAAAAAAAAGCAGGTTACGTAACATTTTTATTTATAACTTACACCTGTTTTATGAAGTTAAAAGTATCAATATTGTTTTAATCAATCACATCACTGGATGAGACTATTTTATATAACCAAGTCATATTGAGACTTTTCTCTAATGCTATCATCTAGTATTAAAGTAAGACAGCAAGAAAGAACACTTGTCGAAGAAGCCACGGAAGCTTTTGATGAGACATTTGCTGTTTCGACGTGACCATAGATGAATTCAGCTATGTATAAAACTGTGATCCCTAATAGTCGGTTCTGAAGGAAAACTTAACGAAAATTTGTAAATGACTTAGGTGTGTCGCACAAATTCCCAGTGACTGGAATAATAATAAACACATCTGCACTCAGCTTTTTCTTATTTCGAATATTTATAAAGCCTAATTAAGATACATTGAAATTGAGAGTTCAAATTGAAAATAGAAAACTTACACGTGATTGATTTTTTGGTTTTAATAAAGGCATTAATGTAGAATAGATTTTAGCAAACATATATGGACTATTGAATATATGAACAGCTTTAACTCGTACAGGACTTGAACCTTGTAGAAAATGTACTGCACGATTTAAAAACCATGGTGACATTAAATTAATTGCATGTCTCCATGAAAAATTTGAAAGATCTACTAGAATAATTACTCCATGAATTTGTACTGCTGGCCAACACTAAAAAATATAAACACATCAAAAAAATAAGACAAATGAAGTAACACATTCCCGTGAAATTCAACTGAACATAGTTGATACAGAAGTTGAAAACTAAATGTCAAGAAAGTTGTATTATTAAGCATATTTCAGTATTTTTCTAAAAACATTCACATAAAATCAGTATCGATCTAAGTTATAAAAAACTTTAATGAAAATCATAGATATATATTCGTACTATTTCCTTTATGTGATTATATCCAGTTACAGAATCGTGCAAGTAAATCAGTACGTGATACCTAATTATATCAGAGAAAGATATGCACACGCAGTCAGTCATTCAGTCAATCAGTTAAAACGTAGAAGTTCACACGTTCAAGTTGCCATATCACATAAGCACAGAGACGTAATTGTTAATTCAAATCCCATGGTAGTAGAGGTATTAGCAGTAATTGGAGAGATTAGCGTTCGAAGACAAAATTCAAGAAATATATTCCAGTGAAATAAACTTAAAAAGAGAAAGATAAATGTGATAAGGAATTCAGAAGGTTAGAATTTCATAGAACACAAAGAGTGAATGCACTTGCGCCATTGCAAACGGTTTTAAGCCATGTCATTCAGGATCTCTAACTATCGATTACTGTCATCTCTCAGACCTCAAACCAAGTAGTCTACATCTACCAACATGACTCAATCCACTTGTCCGTGATTTCATTGACTTGTGCCATATTTTGGTTCGGCCGTTGTTAGGATATTCACCAAATATCCTAAGATAACTATTTTTGAAAGTATAATCCTATCGGTCGATTTTTATTGGTCGAAATTATGGTCGTTTTAACTGTCAAAGTCAAATAATTCAATGTTGTCTCTGATTGGTCTTCCGGACTGTGAATGTCATTTCAAATGTTCTTTCCTACTGGCCGTCCTAAACTGTCAAGGTCACAGACTTTGATGCTCTTCCCTATTCGACCTTAATGTATAAATACGCAATGTCTGTAAGCCTTCATGATTCGGATTCCCATTCCGTTTCTCCTGCCTACCTCTCTTCTGTATTCGACCCAATAAACAACTCCATCCCACGGTGTTGCGTTCTGATATCCAGGAGATTTGGAAATAGCATTTTGGGTCGTATTGGGATATTTGAAATGGACGCCGGTAGGACTGAATAGCTATACGTAGCAGAGTTAAAACAGCCATCCTTAGCTTTCTTACAACCTACTCCTACACCAATATGCGTGTAAATGCCCACGCAATCATTATGAAAGTGAATTTACTAGTTACTAGTTGCTTAAAAATTGAGTTCAGTTTTGGCCATTGAATTCAGCCACACTCGATCGAAACAGAACAAATGAAGAAATAAACTTTCGATAGTGATATTCAACGATAAAATAAAACTATAATTGCAAAACATTCCTTAACTCTATTTCTTCTAACTATTCACTTAAATTCCTAATTTCCAACCAAATGGTTATTTACATTTTTCATATAATAAAGTGATTCATTCATTCATCCACATTCACTACACTACACAAATAACTATTATGATAAATTGAATATTGAATTTTTCTTCTCAAGGTTATTTATTTATTCATCCATTTCTGAAGGTCGTCGTCGTCGGTAAAGTACAACACTATCCTTGAAAAAAACAACATCACACTTTTTATTTTTAAAAGAAAAAAATACAAACATCATCAACATAGAATTAGTAAACAGAACACACAGTGAATTAATCAGTTAATTAATTAGTGTATTTAGTTACATGTTTACTGATATATACATAGATAATCACTAATAACTAACTACATCATAATAAATTTATATGCTTTAGGTCAAGAAAGTAAATCCGTGCAGTAACAATATCAATAGAGCATAATAGCGAAATTCATTTAAATATGTTAATATATACAGAAGAATTGAAATAAAAAATCACTGTTGAACTCGATTATTGCTCCAAAAATAATAATACTCAAAGGAAAGAATACAAATCAATCGAAATAGACAGATATAACACAGAACTTCGTACATAAGTACATCAGTTCAGGTTGACTGCCATACCACATCAGCACAGAGATGTAATTGTCAGTTCAAATCCAAGAATGATAGCAAAAATAGAAGTATTAGCAGTAATGGAGAAGATTAGGGAGCGAAGATATAATTCGAAAAGTACAATTCAGTGAGATAAATCTAGAAGGAGAAAGGTAGAGATTATGAGGAATTTAGAAAGTTAGCAATAGAGAACACACAAAGAGTGGATGCACCTGCGCCATTCCAAACGATTTGGAGCCATGTCGTGCAAGGTCTCTAACCATTGGTGACTTTCATCTCGCGGACCCTAACCAGGTAGCCTACATCTACCAACATCACTCAGTCCGCTTGTCAGTGACTTCATTCATTTCTGCCATCTTTTGGTTTGGCCGTCCCTAGCTTTCTTCCAATCTACTCCTACACTGCGAAACATAGCTCGTCGAGGCAGTTGGTGGTTAGCGATACGTAACACATGTCCCAACCACCTCAACTGATGAAGTTTCACTACTTCATCTATAAACTTCCCATCCATAATCAATCGAAATACAAACATGGTGTTTGAAACGATCGATAATTTATTTCAATTTTTATACCATTCAACCAATCAGAAGTGACCATTTGATAACCATCAAAAAATAACCACCTAAAAGATGAATTCATACATTATTGGTCAAGAAATGGATTCATTTTCTAAGGAGAATGAAATATATATACATGAAACTTACCAATAACAATTCTTCAATTACAAGTACATTTGCACGAAATATATCATTTGTTGACCATTCCGTAGGATTCCATGAACCTGGTCTAAAATAAATCAATGCTCTACCTTCGGCATCTGGTTGTGGCAATCGACATACAACACCACTACGAAATACATGTTCCACTAATGATGGTCTTAAATCATTGAATACATCAGGATAACGTAATCGTAAAATATAATAATTTAAATATAATCTTAAAGCATTATCATGATTAAATTTTTTAGCACGTAGAAAACGTAACAGAAAATCATCAGCAAGACATCCTTGTAAATCTAATTGTTTTAAAAGACGAAAAAAAAAATTACAACTTGTTAACAATCATACAAGATAAATCGAGTTGTTTTTGACAAAAAAAACAACGCATAAAGAATTTCTTATTGTATTCCTAAACAAACATCAAATCACTTAATCTAACAGTGTATGAAATTTATACTATACAAGTTAAGAACTTCATCGTAGGTTGATAAGATTAACAAAATATTACCTATAAACACATAAGGCGATTGGAAGTGATCGGAAGGAAATTATGAATTTAGGTTTTGTGACTGTGTACACATCAGTAAGGTGTACTTGCAATCTTGAATGAATTAGTGCTCTCTACGTTAATCGAACTCATATTAACATATTGAAAAGTCTAACACGGTACGATTGAGCTATTTAAGAGGTGACTAACATTCTTTAGGTCTGACATATTTATATAATTGCTTAGCAATCAGTCCATATCTACTAACACAATTACAATTCTCTTGGAAGTTAAGGAAAATGGCCTACATTAAAAGAGCAATAAACTGTTCTCGCTTTATATAGATCTCAGTCATCATTCGAGCTGCTTTTTTATTTTGACAAGGTGAAATCAGATTAATAATTTTACTAGGATCCTGTATGCGCGTTTCAGAAACGCAGCATACGTTGATTGAGCGAGATTCTAAAGTCTTAGCTAATGATGCCTGTTGCCCTATTTGACAAAATGTCTGTACATTAAATGCTCCAACATGTAGTCTAGAACGAGGTTTCAAGAGACCAGGAATGACGTTTCGTGAACACCCATCGTTTGCATTAGCGGTGAAGTCAGATGAGGGAATTTGAGTACAGATAGTTGTGGAGAGACGAGAGGTATGTGTGGGTGTGGGAAGGATTTGATTTCGACTAATTTGGTCTCCCCTGCTGTTATGGGTATGACGGCGGTTGTCACTTCCCGGCTGCCCACACCGTGGAAGGTTGTTTCTCGAGGGACCTGAAAAGGAAGATAGATTAGTGTTGGTCTTGAAGACCTGAGTGCGTGACGGCAGAGCCCAAGGGACAACTGCCTTTTTATGAAAGGTTTTTTGAGTATTAGCTCCGCTCTTAAAGGCCCGTAGTGGGCACCCTTACCCAAGGAGACGGAAATCCGTGAGGTACGGTAAGGTGTAACATTTTTAGGGACGACCTTTTCTAACCCTTCCTTCCTTCTGAGCAGGCAGCATCGCTGCAGATGCTGCTTGTTGTCTGAGGGAAACACCTTACTGTCGTCACACCCCTCCATCACAGTCAGCAGTACGACTTCGCCCTCAGACCTTCAGTAGCTGCTTTTAGTCTCATCGTTCTCCAATCGACCTGCCTGGCATGGTAGGACATTCAGGGACATATGTTCCAGCCAATATAGCTCGGTTGGGTCATCACGATAGGCAAGCCCGACTACCACGTCAAGGTAGCAGCTACGGTCGGGTCAGTCATCATTATTATCAAACAAATAAATATTATAATTTTTACAAATTCTACAAGAAACTAACAACAACAACAAAAAAAGAATTACAATCTCACTTACTTACTTTGTAATTGAATACGATGTCTTAATTCATCAATATCATTTTGTCGTTGATTTGGTTGTTCATTTAATTCTAAAAATGCTTTTTCTAATGTTTGAGAAGATAAATTAATCACATTTAAATTTGTATCCATTGTTCATTGAAAAAAGCATGAAAATTAGTAATCATTATTGTTTAAAATTAATATCCAACTTTTGTTTCAAATGAAAAGTATCTAAAACACAAAAAAATGAAAATTATTTGCAAAAATACAGTTATGTTTATGAATTCGTCAATTGTATAGCTGAAAATAAACTGTAATCAATAAAACATGTCAATTTAAGACATAAGACGTAGAACTTCGTACGTAGGTATATCAGTTCAAGTCGCCCGACTGTAGCTGCTATCTTGACGTGGTGATGGGGCCTGCCTATCGTGATGACTCAGCCTAGCTATATTGGCTGGAACATATATTTCTGTAGGCTCTACCGTGCCAGTCAGGTCGACTGGAGAACGGTTAGACTAAAAGCATCAACTGAAGGTCTGAGGGAGAAGTCGTACTGCTGACTGTAAAGGGGTGTGACAGTAGTAAGGTGTTTCCCTTGAACAACCAGCATCTGTAGCGATGCTGCCTTCTCACAAGGAAGGAAGGGTTAGAAAACGTCGATTCTAAAAATATCACAACTTACCTTACCTAACAGATTTTCGTCTCCGGTGGTCAGGCTAATAGAAGAGCGGACTTAACGCGTTAAAACATTTACATAGAAAGGCCGTGTGTGACCGGCCTCAAGCAGTTGTTCCCTGATGTCTGTGGTCACACTCTCAGATTGTTAAGACCAACACTAATCTAACTTTCTTTTCAGGTCCCTCAAGAAACAACCTTCCACGGTGTGGGCAGCCGGCAAGTGACAACCGCCCTCATATCTGTAACAGCAGGAGAGACCAAATTGGTCGAAATCAAATCCTTCTTACACCCCCTAATTCCTCTCTTATCTACACGACTAACTCTACTCACATTCCTTTATCTCACTGCACAGATAATGTGAGCGATGCAAGTTCACGAAAATTTATTCCTGATCTCCGGAAACCGCGTTCTAGACTACATGTTGAAGCGTTTAATGTACAGACATTGTGTCGAATAGGGCGACAGGCTTCCTTAGCTAAGAAATTAGAATCTCGTGCCATCGATGTATGCTGCGTCTCGGAAACGCACATGCAAGATCCCATTAAAGTCATTAATTTGATTTTGCCTCGTCAAAATAAAGAAGCAGCTTGATTTACTCTACGTGTATCCGGTAGCCCTGATGCTACTTCTCGGGGTCTCGCTGGTGTAGGTATAGTATTGAGTCGTAGTGCACAACTAGCTCTCCTAGACTGGATCCCTATAGATAGTCGCTTGTAAGCTGTCCAACTGAACGGGACAGTAAGGACTCGGAAAAATTGGGACACCCATCTTTGCCTCTTCGTCGTATCTGCCTACGCCCCCACTGACTGCAGTCCAGACGACGTAAAAGATGAGTTCTGAAGAAAGCTTTCGGACCTCCTGCAAAAAGTTAGGCACTCTGATGTAGTTATAATGGCTGGTGACTTCAATGCTCAAGTAGGTAGACTAAGTGAGCAGGAAAGACACCTGGGTGGATGTTATGGTGTCGCGGCTCAGAGAACAGACAATGGCGACCGTCTGTTGCAACTATGCCCAGATAACCGCCTATTCCTACAAACACTAACTTTAGGCATAAGGAAAAACATCTTTTGACCTGGCGCCTATTTTCATCTTCATTCTGAGTCCCGAAATCTCCTCATACTGTTTTGACAACTACTTGGGACTTGTTTTTTCTACGACTACCACTACTGATGTTTTTAACATTTCCACTATTCAGGGATTCATCGTGACAATTTGATTTCTCCTGGCTAATGTTCTGTGGCATTCAAACCGATTAATGTCATGTCTTTTCACGAACCTTTTAGTAATTAATACGCAACATGAACGTTAGACATGATTACTCTATGCCCAAAGGACGACCCAATACTAACTTGCCCCAACGGAAGAGAAAGAGCAAAGAACAATTACCGCCAGTTCAAGATTTGTCTCAATATTACAAAAATTGCTTTATAAACACAGAAAAATAGATCACATCACACTAATAAATAGTAATGAAAGACTATACATGAATGAGACAAGGGTGGCTGTGAGTAGAGGAGACTGAGAATAACGAACTAGCAAAAGATTAAGAGTGATAAGTCGTTGTTATTGAGTTAATCAACAGGTCAGCCTACACGGAATATTTATAGATCATTGTCCAGTTACTTAGTAGCTAAACTATTAGACTATAAACCGACCATGATCTATAAACCGCATTCTTAAGTTACTATTTCTTTTAGTCCACACCTGGCCATAAAAATGAGTGTGTCTGATTCAACGTTGAACATGACCAATTTATTACTGGGTCCCAAACGCGTAGGATATTCATATAGAATATCTTTAACAATTGCTTCACGTTAACCATTTTCATCTACATTTGTGTGTGCATTACACAGTGATGATTATCGATAAATTTTAACCTGAAATACGTGGAACATTTGAGGATTTTAAAATTATACAAGTGTTCCAATCAAAAATGAGGTGGAATACAGATATATTCGGCATCAAAACGTATCGACATAAAGCAATTGTAATCTTAATAGGACTAGCTTTTATTCTGGGGCTCTAATGAAATATTCCTTCCAAACACATAAAACTAATCAGGTCTATCTGTCAAAAGTTTAGAAATTTCTATATACTTCATTTGTAATGCGCCAGCAGAAAAAAAGAGACACAAAGAATATTTTAACATTTTAGAAAATAAAATTACTGACAATAAGAAAAATTGCGTTGATTTTGTGTTAGCGGCACCTGAGTATAGACATGTTTGTTTATGCGAGTGTTTTGCTTATATACTACTAACAATGTTCTGAGCAGAGTCTTATTTTGATCATATGTTAAAATTATTCACTTTGTGACTCAATACCAGCAGACTATAAGATATATGATAGAAAGTCAGTCAGTCACAATGTACAACTTCGTACGTACGTACATCAGTTCAAGCAGATAAACCACGGTAGCACAGATATGCATATATCGGCTCAAATCCCGTAGTGGTAGAGGTAGTAGAAATATTTCTCAAATCTCTAAGAGATATGATAAACTACATACTAATGGTCTCCGCACACACACTAGCAGAGCCTGAAGATTATGGGACTATCAGTTTAAATCCAGGAAAATACTTAATCAAGAATAATAGTTTTCCGAATTCACAAAATATTTTTCGGGAAGAAACTGAGAGGGTACAACCTTTTTAGGAAAATAAAATTCAAACTAGGTAATCGAAAGCTGAGATTTGCAAGTCTTATATTTAAAATATTCATCCAGAAGATTGTTTCAAAAATGTTTGTAAAGAGATCTGATGGCTAATAATGTAAGATACCAGTTAAATGATACTATATAGAGTTTAAGAGGGTAACCGTAACTAAAAATATTATACTGACTGGTTTATTGTAACGTGTAATCTTAACACAACGAGACATTCAATCAACAAGTAAAATTTTGTATTTGTCAAAAGCCAAATTATGAAAGGACAGAAAATATTATATTACTTAGCAATGAGACTGGGTTAGCCAAGCGATTAGACAAGCCTTATGAGACGTAGCTAAAATGTAAGGCCAACTGTTAACATCGAAACCGCAGGCACGAGAAACCAAACAACAGCAATCAGCGAGCACAAATAAATCAATCATTATATACCAGTTCGTTTACGATACATCAGGAATAAACTACTAGTCAAACAATGAATATACGTTTCCCATATATAGTTAGCATAGCTCTAAAATAGTATTGCTAGATATAAACGAAGCGTGTTTACGCAAAAGAAGAACCATCTTACTCCATTTATTAATTGACATTCGGTAATAAGAATTAACTTGCAAACAAATATAACTAGCCCGTGATCCATATCTATCTGTCGAAATCATGTAATGAAGAAATCTTATGAGAGAAGAAACTTCAGAATAGCAATAAAATAAACTATTAGGTTGGGAACGATGATAACTAACAAGCACAAACAAAAACCAACCTTGTATTTTAAATCTGAGCTGCTAAAAGGTCACAGAAAATGATATATTAAAACAAAGAAACAGAATACAGTTTGTTCACTTATATTATGTACGTTTAAGGAAGCGCGCTTGGAAATTGTCGTGACCTCATTGACTCACCTCTTTGAACAGGAAACAATCCATTTTTGAACTTCAGATTGCGATATTTAATCAGTCCCGAAGATATAAAAGTTGTCTCAATTCACTTGTTTACAATCGGAATACAAATTCGGTCAAATGGAATCCTTCCAAGTCTATATACTACTAAATTTTTCTTTCCTAAGTTCCTATTTTGTGTATTTTCCTCTCTGAATTATCTCGCTTTTATCTTCTATATCTCTCTGGTATCATGTTAAATAATAAATTTGCTAGCCCATCTAACACTACAATAATAACGAAAACCTGCAGAGGTATGAATCCCACGGTCAATAATGAGTCGAAAATCCCAGTCACGAGCGACTGGGTTGGGAAAAAACTCAAACTGCCACCCGAAAGCACTCCTCAGAGAAGGGTTCATAGTTCATATTACTCAACCCAAACACATACACTTGGTCTCAAACAGACTCCCCCGAATCCTATTCCTATTAAGACTAGTAGGCTAACGAAAAAAAGGAGGGGAAATGCGTCCCAAGGCTCAGTCGGTACAGCTTATCGTACGTAAATCGCACAAGGATGACTATTTCGCCTGCTCGAGGCCAGTCAAAATCAGTGACTCAGTTTTTAAATGCGATTTCTGCAGCAAATAGGTCCACAGTCACTAACACTGAAGTACCGAAAGAGTACTGCGGGTTCATACTGAGTCTGTGGTTAGGGTTAGAGTATATCATCCCACGGTGCAGAGGCATTGGCGAAGTCACGGGCCCCAACCTAATTCAGCTCGAAAGTCCCAACGGACAGACCTAAATCACCTGGCACTAAACCAGTGAAACAGGCAACCAAGGTAGCCGAAACCTCAGCTAACACGCCAACATAGCCGCCGGTTGTTGTTCATCACTTACCATCTGTTAACAATACGGAACAGTAGGTGAATGTAAAAGAATGGAACGGCTAAACGTCAACACATAGATGGCTACCACCAAATGACAGAGCTGATAAATTAAATTCACTCATTTTATTTAGTGTCGCACTGTCGGAAGGTAGCTCACTAAAAGATGGGGCCGCCCTTCATAAACAACAATTGGATGAATACTGCGCAGTCCTCGTAATTTGTTATACCTGAGGGAAGATATGCCACCTCTTCAAAGGCCAGAACATCTCAAAAGGGAAACCCCATCCAATGAGGGTGACACTAGACTCGACACAACTTGCCGAAGACATCCTCCTCTCATCTCAGAGAACATCGGTAAAACTGACTTCTCCAATCCGTATCAGGCACGATGAATCTTTGTCATTATGAGCGACCGCCAGGAAAATCCCAGGTACCCAAGAGCATACTAGCACGGTAATTCACAGCGTGCTGAAACTGGCTAGTGGGAGCTTGGATGAAGTTTCATGTGCATCAAGGGCAACAGTGCCGTGGCTATTACATCGCCTAGGCCCTCAAGCCATTTCGCATTTCCAGCCTACCTCGCCCGTCACCTTTCACGTCCATTAAGTCATCATGTCTGACGTCTGTGGAATTCAGGAATAGGGAAGATATGACTGGGGCAGTTCAGTCTTAGTACGACCCGACGGACCTGTCTAGCCGCACTAGGTGTTGAGAAAGCCAACGAAGATATGTGAGACAACAGTAGAGGGGCCATAACAAACGTACAAAATTTGCAGTTGACCTCGATCAACAATCCCTGGCACAAGACTTAAAGATAATAGCCTCGCCGACTGAACTCACTACAAAGACAAAAAGCCTTCTGAGGCCAGTTCCCACAGAAATCAGTAATTTGTGCTCTCAGACAGGTCTGAAGATCATAATCCTAACTAAAAAATGGCTATCCGCTAACACTGCAGACGACAAAGTGGTGAGATAGCAAGGCATGACATTCTTCTGAAGCGATAAGGTACACCAAACAGGAGGTGAAGTTGTCATATATATAAATAGCCACTTAAAAGTCAAGCGGCTATACGACAACCAACCAATTGAGATGACAGAATCATATTGGAGTTGTTTCCACACAAAAGTCACACAATATCTGTTTGGAGGGATTTTTCGTCCACCGTCAGGTACAAAAGGCCAGAAAGGTAAACTTACTGAGATAATACTACAACTAGCACCCCTGTGGTTCGATCAATTACTCTTATCTGGAGATTTCAATACGACGTCTCTAAATCTCGGACATCAGGGTACAATTCGCACTGGTTAGTTCCAAAGACGACTTGGCGCTGCCAACAGAAATTCTAGGCTTACTGAGCACGTATGTAGGATCCTGGAAGACTATTTCAAGTTGTGGCAGAAATGAAAAGATACAACCACGAGTTGCTCTGCATCAGCGAAATGCATTGGACACAGGTGGGACAACTGAAAATAGCTTCAGAGGAACTTCTGTTATACCCTTGTCATGAAGAGAAATTACTTCACATACACATGGAGTTGCACAAAAGGCACTGATAGGATGGGAATCTCATGGACCCAGGATCATTAAAGCATCCTTCAAAACAAAGAAAAAGGACATTACAATGAACGTCATCCAATGTTATGCACCTATCAATGACTACAGTGACGACGTTAAAGATCAATTCTACGAAAGGCTGCAGTCAATTCTCGAGAAATGTTCACCAAAGGATTTGAAGATTCTTGTAGGAGATCTGAATGCCAAGGTCGGAATGGACAACACTGGGTATGAAAACATCATGGGACGACATGGACTGGGAGAAAGGAACGGAAACGGCGAGAGATTTGCAAACCTATGTGTCTTCAACAAACTGGTCATCGGTGGCACAATATTCCCGCACAAACGCATTCACAAAGCCACATGGATTTCGTCGGACCACACTATTCAAAACCAAATTGACCATATCTGTATCAACAAAACATTCAGAAGGACCATAGAGGATGTGAGAACCAATAGAGGAGCTGACATAGCAAACAGGGAAATGAAGAAGAGTGACAGAGCTGACAAACGAAAATACGTGAAAGATCTAGCAATGATGGCAGAAAAGGCTGCAAGAGAAGGAAACTTGAGACAATTGTACGAAACCACAAGGAAGCTCGCTGGAAACTTTCGTAAACCAGAACGACCAGTGAAAAGCAAGAAAGGGAAAGTAATCAGCAACACTGAAGAACAGCGAAATAGGTGGGTAGAGCACTTTAAGGAACTATTGAATCGACCAGCTCCACTGAACACACCCAACATCGAAGCAGCATCCACGGACCTCTCAATTAATATTGGAGCACATACAATTGAGGAGATCAGTATGGCCATCAGACAAATCAAGAGCGGCAATGCAGCAGGACCAGACAACATTCCAGCAGAGGCAATGATAGCAGATGTAGAAGCAACTGCGAAAATATTTTACATCCTTTTCAAGAAGATTTGGAATGAGGAACAAGTAACATCAGATTGGAAAGAAGGATACCTCATCAAAATACCAAAGAAAAGCGATCTCAGCGAGTGTGAGAAATACAGAGGCATCACTCTTCTTTCAATACTAGACAAATTCTTCAACAGGGTATTGTTAAACAGAATGAAGGACTTCGTAGAAGCTCAACTTCGAGATCAACAGGCCGGATTTCGTAAGGATCGATCGTTCACTGACCGAATCGGTACTTTACGGATCATTGTGGAACAATCGATTGAATGGAACTCACCACTCTACATCCACTTCAACGATTACGAGAAAGCATTCGATAGCGTGGATAGGAAAACACTGAGGAGGCTTATTCGACACTACGGTCTGCCTGAGAAGATAGTTAATATCATACGGAATTCTTATGATGGATTCAACTGCAAAATCGTACACGAATGACAGCTAACAGACTCTTTCGAGGTGAAGACTGGTGTCATGCAGGGTTGCTTACTCTCACACTTTCTATTTCTCCCGGTGATCGACTGGACTATGAAGACGTCAACATCTGGAGGGAAGCACTGTATTCAGTGGACATCTAGGACACACCTGCAAGATCTGGACTTCGCAGATGATCTGGCTCTTCTATCGCACATGCAACAACACATGCAAGAGAAGACGACCAGTGTAGCAGCAGCCTCTGCAGCAGCAGATCTCAACATACATAAATGAAAAAGCAAAATTCTCCGATGCAACACAACATGCACCAACCAAATCACTCTTGATGGAGATGCCTTGGAGGACGTTAACACCTTTACATATCTGGGCAGCATCATCGACGAGAAAGGTGAATCCGAGGCAGATTTGAGGGCGCGGATCGGCAAAGCGAGGGTTGCATTTCTACAGTTGAAAAATATCTGGAACTCCAAACAACTTTCAACCAAAACCAAAATCAGCATTTACAATACAAATGTCAAGACAGTTCTACTGTATGAAGCAGAAAGATGGAGAACTACCAAAGCCATTATCCAGAAGATACAAGTGTTTATTAACAATTGTCAACAAAAAATACTTCGTATTCGTTGGCCGGACACTATCAGCAACAACGTACTGTGGGAGAGAACAAACCAGATTCCAGTGGATGAGGAAATCAGGAAGAAGTGGTGGAAGTGGATAGGACACACACTACGAAAAGCACCTAGTTTCGTCACGAGACAAGCCCTCACATGGAACCCTGAAGGCAAAAGGAAAAGAGGAAGGCCAAGGAACACATTACGCCGAGAAATAGAGAAAGATATGAGAAGAATGAACAAAAATTGGACAGAATTGTAAAAGGAAGCCGAGGACAGAGTTGGTTGCAGAAAACTGGTGGGCGGCCTATACTCCATTGGGGGTAACAGGCGTAAGTAAGTACCTATTATCTCCGTTTCCTCTCCCTTGCTTACAAGTTCGTCCTCTTTCACTATTGTTGCTACCAAATAATAAACCAAACTATCTACTTATTTACTAAGTTCTGAATTCCTCTTCTCGTTAGTATTAGAATTTTCTCCTTGTTATTGTCCACATTGCAATTAACTGATCTTGGTCCGGTATACAGAAACCCTACTGCTCTAAAGTAAACGTTTTTATTCAAATTACTGGACCTACAATCTTACAACCAACCGACTAGAATTAGAGAGTGGAGTAGTTAGACCCGCATTCATTTGACAATACCTGATACCCGGAAGCGTACGAAAGAACAAGAATCAAAAGTCAACTGGTTTATACCAGCTCATGAAAAAGATATCGAAAGCAGGATTGTAGTTCATTGCAACCAAAATAATGGGTGATCTCTCTCTCCTCCTAGACACGTTTGTTAAATGTTTTGTGTATCTACATATCTTGACAACGTAATTATTATAAATGTTACCTCATTGTGATTCTACATAGCTTCCAAGTGGCAATAGTTTCCAGTGTCGACGTCACTGGTTAAAGCGGTAAATTATTCAAGATTTTATCGGCTTTACTCAGAAAAGTTTTTAAAGTTTCGAACGTTAAACGGTCTTAGGACCAGTCTGCTTCCTGATATTCAGTAATGACCTGTTACATAAAAAGACCTCAGAGGCACTAATCTGAACGAGCTATGCAAAGATTTGGAGGTCCACCAGAAGAGAATAGTGTCGAACTTTACTTCAAAAGCACGTTACAGCTATAGAAGAATGAGAAACTGACAATGAGTTCAAACTTAACCCTGCCATTGTTCACGTTATGAAAATCCTGTCTCACGCAACACAGAAAACGTACATCCTCAGTGGAGCTGGTTCAAAAAATACTGAGAGCTTTAACCCAACTTCAAACTATACACGTAGGGAAGCCGAGACAAACAAAACTAACTTATCAGTAGCTAACTTGGCTAAACTACACCAGAACTGTTCTTGACTCTTTAAAACATTCACATGCGCACATTGAAGGTAACAATGTCATTTGCATAAGCGACCAACCAAATAGGCGGAAAGATTCAAAAGATACTTGCTAAACACGTGCCTACATACAGGCTACAATCGCATTCATGGACCAGCCTCGCCTAATGCCTGTCGCAAAACTAGCTGGTTGTGATCATTATCGTCTGCTCAGATCAACATATACTATCTCGCTAATGTCTGATCACCTCATCTGTTTTACAATTTTTCCCTCTCATATAATCTTCAATACCAATTAATTAACTTGTTTATTTATTTACATCATAAATCTCATTAGCATTAGGATTTTCTTAGACAGCAAAAAACCGATCTGCGTAATGGCAATGGGATAACTGCTGATATATAAAAAGCCTACTTCCCTGAAGCAGACGCAGTCACTGGACGAACATATTCACAAATATCTGTCAACTGACTAGAATACCATCCATTGGAGACTAAAATCGCCTTAGACCGTACCGAAAGAACAAGAGTCGAGCGCAAAGAAATCTATTAATTTATACTAGTTCGTAAAAAAGATATTCAATTAACCGATACCTTGTTTTAGTTTGGTCATCCCATACTTTCATTCAGCTTACACCTACAGAAGACAGTATCACTTGACATGTCTCAACCATCTTAACTGATGAAGTCTCTCTACTTCGTCTATCGATCTGCCAACCTTACCTACTACCCTTCTAACCGCGAGCAAAGCTCCGAAGATACATGATCGAACAGTAGTACCCAACGCATATCTTCTAATCTTACTGGCCATATTTCACACGCATATAGTAAAAGGAAGCGGATTGATGCGTAGTGAACAAGTCCTTTGGTTAGCAGATAGATATATCGTCTACATTATAAAGGAAGCCAGTTTGCAAAAGCCAGTCGAGGCCTCTGTATCCGTACTGAGACTACATCACGCCATCCGAACTGATGAGACTCCCAACATGAGTGAAGCGGTCAACACGCTCAATTAGTTCACTACCTATCACTGGTTCAGGCGCAGACGCAATTAACCACTAACTGTCGATTTCACAAATAAAAGGATGATATACTGATTAATAAGCTCTGAAATAGACTGACAATTCGAATTATTTCTTATTTAGTAGAACAGACAACTTTAACATTAGATACCAGTTTTGAGGTTCAGGGCCTTTTATGTGAAACCATAACGTCAATCACCAAAAATATAATAACTTAAAGTACAGATACACATACGTAATGAATTTTAAACAGTATAACGGTAAAATTTGACAGGAAAATGAAAGATTGTACATACAGAATGATTATAATAATAATAGTAATAATAGTTGGTATATCTGTTTCGTATACTTCTTTTTCAAAAACAAAAGATTGTGCACATTCTATTTAGTAAATATTGTTTTGTACAATAGATATTATTATTATTGCCTAGGAGAGAGATAGTTCAAGAGGAAAAAAACAAATGCTTCTCCATCAGTATAATTTCGTCAGAATAAGAAGAAAAAAAACGGGAGTACTCATCAACGTCTATTTTTCTTATTTGGTGATTTTGTTGCATGACGAGATTTCTTATGTGATGCTGGTGATGAACTATGTGTTCGTGGACGTTTTTTCGGGTGTACTGTGTCGGACATTTCAATTTTAGCATCCTCTGTAAAGAATAACAAGAAAAAATAGTAGTAGTGAAAATTTGAGGAGCCATAATTTCTAAGATTAATAATCGTTTTATTAAACTACAATGATCGAAAATTACAAAAACAAAGTAACCTAAAGAAAAATGCATTGTATTTATTTCAGTACAAGACATATATGTCATATGAATTAATAATACTATCGGGTAATTTTTGACTTTTTTGGACTAAAATGTTTGATAGTTTAAATATACGATGACATTTACAGATAACTGGAAATAGATAAAGTCTGAACAAAGGTAAGAATTCGTATAAAAAGTTTAAATTTTTGGGGCTGAAAATGAACCATACTATGTGAAGTTCATGACGTTAATCTGAGCTCAATGACATTGGGCAAACAATGACAGTAACAATTCAAAGAAAAACAAGCGCCGAATATTTTCAACTATTGAACGTCTAATGGTAGCAGCTTTCAGTTTTTATATCTCAACAAAGATGGTAACTTGCAGAACTAATTTACGGGTTATTACTGTTATTATTACTATTAAATATGTGTTACGTATGCCTAACCACCGACTGCCGTGACGAGCTATGTTTCGCAGTGTAGCAGTAAGTTGGATGAAAGTAAGGGACGGCCAAACCAAAACATGGCAGAAATCCATGAAGTCACTGACAAGTGGACTGAATCGTGTTGGTAGATGTAGGCTATCTGGTTGTGGTCCGCGAGACGAAAGTCACGGATGGTTAGAGACCTTCCTTGAACGACATGGCTCAGAATCGTTTGGAATGGCGCAGGTGCATCCACTCTTTGTGTACTTTTTAATTCTAACCTTCTGAATTCCTCATAATCTCTAACTTTCTCCTTCTAAGTTTATCTCACTGAATTATACTTTTTGAATCATATCTTCGCTCCCTAATCTTCTCCATTACTGCTAATAATTCTACTATCACTATCACTGTTGGATTTGAACTTAGAGTTACGTCTCTGTGCTGATGTGACATGGCAACCTGAACTGATGTACTTAAGTACGAAGTTCTGGTCTGTCTGTCTATTACTATTAAAAATGTATTAAATAACTAAATTATCAGGTTTATAGAATTTATTTTATTCTTATCACAAGCTTTCCGCTAACTGATAAACTAATTATCATACGATTTAGCAGTTTTTCTCCTCTTAATCATTCATGTATGTGTAAATTGGTCTGATATGGTCTGGTTATGTATGTATGCATATAAATTTACGTCTGAAGCATATTAAGCATCTTAGACTAGTGATCATTGAACTGGTGTTTTTCCTCTCAGTTCAAGGTTAGTTAGTATATGGTCAAATTGTCAAGCATAAGAATATCAGTTCTTTTGTTCCTGTTGCGTATTGGTTGCTCAAAGGTCATGTCTTTGTGTATTGGTCAGTTGTAGCAAAGAAAAACATCAGTAAAATTCAAAAGTTATCCGAACTATGTGTTCAATAATTTTGAGATTGATCAGATACTAAAATTGTAATAAATACGAACATAATTTTATGAATGTTCTCAGAAAATTTCCCATAAGCACACGATTAGAAACTAACAAAAAGGCAGATAAGTGAAAGTTTAAATAGTATACACACACTCAGTATGATGCTAAGTATTTAATATCCAATTAACTCAGGCTGTTTAAAATTCCTACCGACTAGAAACTTGGATTCACATTTTTTTATGAAGACATGTATATGTATGGACAGACAGACAGATACAACGCAGAACTTTGTACATAAGTACATTAGTTCACGTTGCCATACGACGTCAGCACAGAGACGCAAATGTCAGTTCAAATCTAGGAGTGATAGCGATAGTAGAATTAATAGCAGTAACGGAGAAGATTAGGGTATAATTCAGTGAGATAAGGTTAGAAAGAGAAAGATAGAGGTTATGAGGAATTCAGAATGTTAGAATTAAAAAGCACACAAAGAGTGGATGCACCAGTGCCAATGCAAACGATTTTGAGCCATATCATTCAAGATCTCTAACCACCAATGATTTTTTGTCGCGGACCGCAACCAGATAGCCTACATCTACCAACATGACTTAGTCCACCCGTCCGTGATTTCATGGTTTTCTGCCATGTTTTGGTCTGGCCGCCCCTATCTTTCTTCCAACCTACTTCTACACTACAAAACATAGCTCGTCGCGGCAGTCGGTGGTTAGGCATACGTAACACACGTCCTAACCACCTCAACTGATGAAGTTTCTGTATATGTATGGTACTTAAGCACATTATCCTTAATTGAAACATTCATCATTATATGACACACTTATTTCATTTCACAAACCTTTTCTAGCTTCTTCTTCTAATTCATCCCAATCTTTTCCTTCAGATTCATCAGAATCTAAACTTTCTGGTTCATCAGAATCTTCTTCAGCTTCCCAATCTTCATCATCACCACTAGATTCATCACCGCTTGCATCTTCTTCACCATCACCAGATAATTCACTTTCTGATGGAGCATAATTTTCATCTTCATCTTCTGTATCCTCTTCATCTTCATCATCATCCTTTGAAAAGACAAAAAGAATAGAAGTAGAAATAAGAACATATATGAACAAATGATATCAATAAATAAATCATTGAGTACAACACTATACATTATAGTACTAGCTTAAATGGATATATGATGCTACTTCTAAACTAGTAGTGGGATATAGTACATCTTCATCGATAGGGCATGGGCAACCTGAACTGATGTACGTACGTACGAAGTTCTGCGTTGTATCTGTCTGTCTGTCTGTCATCGACTAAAATGTACTACATATGCCCCAACCAATGACTTTAACGGGTGATAGCGTAGAAGTAGGTTGGAAGAAAGATAACGGTGACTACGCCAAGGTACAACATCTATGCACGATGACAGTAACTGTTAAACTGAGACATGTAAGTAGTTAAAGAAGCTGAATCAAATAGCTGAGAGAATTGATCGATTTAGCAGAGATGAATTCATTCTTTGTTTTTATTGTAAATTATGAGTTTAACAGATATCAAATAGTTGTTACATCTGTTTTGCTATCAGTAATACTCTTTATTATTCTGTGATTTATTTTGATAATCTTATCTTATTGTGTTATTCTAGGAAGTTTTATGTTGCACACGACCATGAGAATATGAAAAAAAAGGTTATGTAAATATGATGATAAGAGGTATTTGGTGTGATATGTGACATAACCACAGTTTTGCAATCAGTTTACTAATTACATTGTTATAAATCAATTATATACTATAAATGAAACAAATTCAACTCAATATGAACTGTTGGCTTTGGCATACCACCATGTGATGTTGGTACTCCACTGCCCCCAATAAACGTTAAGTTATGGAAATCTACAAGCTGAACATTTTCTCTCTTGATTCCATTTTTCAAAGTTTAGTTACAGTCTAAAAGGCTACTACTACTAAGTATCTAAATATTAAACAGTAAGCTATTTGAAATTACTCATTAATACAACTACTGCGTTGTTGTATCTTGGTTTTTCTCGAGAACCGTATCACTGAAACTCACCTTCAGTTTAGACAGGAACAATATCTCAGAAAATTTATGTAAATAATAAACAAACTGAAGGTTGTTGGTGCTTAGATTGTTGCTTTTACACATCTTGAAGAGTATGGTACTATTTCGCACACTAACATTGGGAGCATATGCCTAACACCTATGTATTTCCTAGCAGTTTGTATACTAAAAAACAATTTTGTGCTTAATTCGTCTATTTTTTGGTTTCTAATGCATAGGAACTCATAAATGTGATCCTATAAACCCTGTCTCATTCAAACGTTTACACTGTCTATAACATTTCATTGTTTAATATGCGTTAGTTTTATAATTCACTTCGTTAGATGGTAGAAAATCTAATTTGTTATTTGTACAACATATTAATGTATGGTCATGTTTGATCTTGTCATAAAAAGTTGTACTACTCACGCGACGGTTGGCAAAATTACATTATGCATACTAATTAAATCAACTTATGTAGACAGTGGGAAAATATCTATCTATTTAATGCAACAATCCGCTTTGTTTTACTTTATAGATAAGAATCTTAAATATGAGCCTGTCGAAACAGTGATTGCATACAATATAATCAACAAGTGATTTAATGATAGTGTACAAAGTACAATGTGAAAATAACATGTAAGTAGGCGGATGAAGTTATGACATTTGTTAGAGTTACTGATTATTGATCCAAACTATGTAAAAGAGTAAGTCTCTTCTCAAAGACGAATCAGCTAGAGCTGAGTTCAAACATGGAACTACTCAATGGTTTAAAATTGAATCTCTTAACATCTAAATCATTCAGCCCACCGTAATCCATGGCGAAATAAATAAATACAGATATTAAAAACAAGTTTACACTCACTAACTAATCACTTTCAAATGAAAGTAACATTGTTTTTTTAAACTTATCAACAAATCAATTTCACACTGTCAAACTATTAAACTACGTACAAAGTTCGAACTGTTTGCTTGAAACAGTATAATAATCAATGTAAATGTGTAAGAGATTACCCAGTTTATATTAAATTTATTCATATACTTTATAACAACTAACATTCAGAAAATGAAGTTAAACACATGTAATACAGAGATTATCACATCATTGGAGGAAATAAAAAATGTAAATACTTATACGACTATTTTTTTCAGTTACAGTTATGGAGATCAGTGTTCTTACATACTGAAATCATCAATCAATCATTGTTAGACCAGCAGTCGAAACCTGAAAGCACTGGATAGCCGTTTCGTCCTGATATGCGACTACTTATCAGCAATGCACATCTACGACTCCTGTTAGCAACTAACTATATTATACAGATAATCATCATAGTACTACTAATACTACTACTACTACAAATACTACTATTATTACTCACTTCATCTGGTGATATAAATGACCAACCACCTTGTTCAATAAATCCTTCTGGATCGTCAAGAATAGTTTTCATTAGTTTAGGCCAATTCAGCGATTTCGATGCTTCAGCATAAAAGATATCACATGATCTGTAATGGAGAAATTGAAAATTTTTATTATTGAATAATTAATTACTAGACAGAAGTGCCAACCATATCTCTCTTAATGTTCATCATCAATGAAAAACATCACCAGTTTGACAAACATATACATAATAACAGTTTATGTTATCCCGTAGTTGATACTGAGGAGTGGTATCTGCATTCAGTGTGATTCGCTTCGATGTAACCATTATAATATCACATATTTTATAGAACAGATAAGTTGTGTACCATATCAGGCATTGTACATTTTGAACAAGTTGGCGCCTAGCTGATTTAGCGCATCAGTAAGTATGTAATGTGTTTTAATGTCTAAAGCAAAAAGGAACGGATTTGAGTTCAAGTGTGAACGTCAACACTGAAATATACAAGTGCATTCAGGTATCATATCTTAAACACGAAGAGAGAGGCGTTTTTTAGATTTACTCCAAAATATACAGTGCTATAAACAGTTCAGGTTATCTAATTTTTAATACCATTTCGTGAATACACATCGCCGTGAAAACCTTTGTCTTTATCTGACTGATTGCTATTACTGTTAATTTCTTAACTTTGTCATGTGCTCCAAGATCGCTGCATATTACACTATAAACAGAGTTGTTTGTTTTTCATATCTGATTTCTGTCTGGGAATATTAACTTATTCTGAAGTTCAATTCCGTGTTAGAACGAGAATTACTGACATTGAAGTGCTTTCTGTGACAGACATCGAGTTCCCATCAATTATACACCTTATTGGAAGAATCGTCACCTACCGCAGACCAATAGGAAACTTCATAAGACATAATCAGTATAATGATCACACAATACATAAACGGAAAAAATTGTAGACAAGTCAATAAAAAATTACACAACTTACAATAACCATTCTTTAACTAATTCTAATGCAGTACTTGGTATAGAATTAATCATTGCTGGTTTTTTATGATAATCTTTAAATATAAATACCATATCAAATGTACGAATTGATAGGCTGACACGTTCTAACATAACAAATTCCACTTCTTCCAGTGTAACCACAAATGCTGGCAATTCAACAACACTAATTAATGCACTACTTGTAGGCATCAACAGGACAGTTGATCTGTGAAGAGAGAGAAAACAATAGCAATAATAATAATAGAAGGAACAATAGAACAATATCGATTTGAAGATCTTTCCTAACGCAGTGTATATCTCATCTCATACAACAAAAGAATATTCACGATGCAGAGAGCTGGGCACAGTACACTGATACACCATATCAGCGGAGAAAGAGGTAAAAAATTATGAAAACAAAGTAGAAGTATCAATGATAATCAAGACAATCTATTCGAAAGATAAAAAGTAAGAAAGAATTTCAATATACCCAAGATCTATAGAGGAGAGAGAACAAGAAGTGAAGTTGGCTGTGCCATTGGTTAGAATAATCATGATTCATGTATATACATGAAGTGATAAGAAGTGAAGTAGTTGAGTCTTACTAGTGCTGATGGCTTAGTGTCTGAATAAATCTCGGTACGTGATATAGAAGGCTCAATTGGCTTTTGCCAACTTGCGTCACTTATGGTGTAGGCGAGATATCCGTCTGCTAACCAAAGGATGGGTCTACTACGCAGAAGTTTACTCTGTCCTGGTATACGGGTGTGGAACATGGCCGGTAAAAGTAGAGGATATTTGTAGGTTATCAGTATTCAATCGCCAGCGTCTTTGAAGCGTTGCTCATACATCCTGGGACAATTGAGTAAGCAATGTAGTTGTTAGGAAAGGAGTACTAGGTAAGGATGGAAAATCAATTGAAGTAGTGAATCTTCATCAGTTTAGCTGGTTAGGACATGTGTTACGTATTCCCAACCGCCAACTGCCTCGACTGGCGATGTTGTTTGATGTAGGAGTAGGTTAAGAGAAAGCCAGGGACAGCCTGAACAAAACAAGACAGAAACGCATGAAGTCACCGACAAATGGATTGAGCCATGTTGGTAGGTTAGACTGTCTGGTTGGGGTCCATAAGATGATTTTGTAATCAATTATTTGCTAAATATTAAATCTATCCCAATAAATTATTCAATGAAGGATACAAGTATATACGCATATTCAGGTTGGGCGGATTGTTCACAAAGAGTTACTTTACTCTGTATTTTGTATGTGTGTATGTGTGTGCAGAGAGTTTAGCCAGAATAGACAGATACAACGCAGAACTTCGTACATAAGTACATCACTTCAGGTTGCCATGCCCCATCAGCACAGAGACGCAATTGTCAGTTCAAATCCAAGAGTGATAGCGATAATAGAAGTATTAGCAGTAATGCAGAAGACTAGGGAGAGAAGATATAATTCGAGGAGTATAATTCAGTAAGATAAATTTAGAAGGAGAAAGGCAGAGATTATGAGGAATTCGGAAGGTTAGCATTAGAGAGAACACAAAGAGTGGATGCACCTGCGCCATTGTAAACGATTCTGAGACATGTCGTTCAAGGTCTTTAACCATAGGTGACTTTCGTCTCGCGGACCCCAACCACGTAGCCTACAACTATCAAGATGACTCAGTCCACTTGTCAGTGACTTCATGGATTTGTGCCATCTTTTGGTTTAGCCGCCCCTAGCTTTCTTCCAATCTACTCCTACACTGCAAAACATAGCTCGTCGAGGTAGTCGGTAGTTAGCCATACGTAACATGTCCTAACCACCTCAACTGATGAAGTTTCATTACTTCATCTATTGATTTGCCATCCCTACCTAGAACTCGTTTCGTAACGACAGCATTGCTTAGACGGTTGTCCCAACTTAGCCAAAATACCTTGAATTTAGGTACTACGAATAAACCATACACCTATGTATGAGTGGATCCAAATGACGAATGATAAAACAAGATGAATTCCCTACTGTTAGCTATATACTACTGAAAACATGGTTTCTATGGTTACACTAAGCAATGAGAAAGCTACATTTTCCATATAATAATACAACTAAGGTTACATACAGTTAGTTGCATTAAACGTTTAATGTAAGTAAAAATACAATAAATCCGATTAAGTATTGACAAAATTTGTTTTGTGTTTTTTGCTTCTACGATAATTGAAATTAAACTGCAAATAAGCTTTCTGATTGATTTCTGTATTTTTATGTGAATGTGATTTGGATGAATTGATTTATCAAGTAAATGTTCAATGTGTTGAACAACATCCGGGTTTTTTTTCATGGATCATAAAATAAATAGTGTGTTCTGATGACAAACTCCAAGTAGACTAGTAAATAGTGAGATCTAATCAATCATCAATCAACAGTGACATTGTTAGGATATTCATCCAATATCTTAAGAGAATTATTGGTCAAATCCTATTGGTCAAAATTATGGTCGTTTTAACTGTCAAAGTCAAATACTTCAATGTTGTCTCTTATTGGCCATCCGGACTATCAATGTCAGATCAAATATTACTTCCTATTGGTCGTCCTGAACTGTCAATGTCACAGAATTCAATGCTGTTTCCTATTCGACCAAAATGTATAAATATGAATTATCTGTAACAGTTTATGACCACGACCAGGACCAAGGCTCGGTCCCGGATCCCTAGTCCGGGATCCTGATACTCTTCTGGATTCGGACCTTGTACTTTCTGGATGCTTGTAGAACACATGTTCTACTTCATATCACGTCTTCTTATTTTTTACTAAATATGGGGGTTGGAATAATCGGATTTGAGTAGCATGCCGTGTCGCCGGATTCTCGATCCTCGCCCTCGTTTACGACTAAAGTAAACTCGTAATAATTCAAGTATAACGAGTTGACGTGCTTACGAGCAGGCATAACAGACGTAGAACTACGTACATCAGTTCAAGTTGCCATACCATATTAGCACAGAGAGTAAATGGTGAGGAGTGGGGGAAATGAAGAATAACATTTTTACTAATCGATAAACACATTAAAATTGTTATATGATATTTAAAATAAATCACTTACCGGAAAGGACAACCATGAAATCCTAATTCACGGAATGGTGTTTTCAAATTCTAAATCATAACGACGTGCTAAATTTTCAGATCTATCTATAAATAAACGAAATGCTGTTTTAATTGGTTCTCTGGTTTGACGTTCTCTTTGTTCTGCTTCCAAATCGTCACGATCTTGCATACGTGAATGTGTTTTACTCAAATCTGTAGTTAATTCACCAACTTCTGTATAGAATTGAATATCAGTATGTTTTTTCTTGCCATACATAATTGCGTTCTATGGATTTGAAGTGTGGAACAAAAGTGAAGAGTTGTTTCACACATTCATAATAAACTATTACATCACAGATATGTTTAGAATTTGTTACGCTCGTGTCTAGGTACGCTTAAATTAGTCGAATAACGACAACAAAACAATGAACCAGAGTCCATGTAGGCTACTGTGATCACTTGACCCAATTGTACCAGCAAGAAGTCTTGATATAGTGTAGAAATTGTATTCTACAAACACAGCCAGAACACACAATAAATCCAAGCACTCAAATTGCGTTTATTTATACTCGCCATAGAGACATCCTTGGGACAGTCACAAAAATAGCACACTAAAATCACACAGCCAAGGATTTTCCTGCTGGGAAATGTGATCTCAAGGTCAACTGATCGGTTCATGAAATAAATCCAAATTAAAGATATTTATCAAGCGATTTCTGGGGATCTAACATCCCCAACAGAATTGGGTTAAACAAGTTAGCTATTGAGTAGTAGTGCGGTAGTAGTGTGGTGCTGTGGTGCGAACTACTTATAAGTAGTATATAACGTGAGTGTCAACGTAAAGTCTGGTAGCATAATATGGGGGGAAGATCAAGAAAGGAAGAGTTAGAAGAACACAATGGAATTTGTATGAAACGCATGAATAGTGACAATGGAGTGATGTTTTGCAACAGGAACAGTCCAGTTCCATAGGATGAACTGATCTTTTGCAAATGAACGATTTACGATATGGTTTTCCGATTTTACTGAGTAACTCGGTAATTTCCGTTAAATACAATTCGGTTGCCCCACCTGTGTTCTCATTCACTACATTTGGTGTCGCTGCCTGCTCGAAGGAAGGGGCTCCCGTGGCCGAAGCAGTTGCAGGACGGAGATTGGCGGAGCTTCCTGGAGGAGTTTGTGGCCACGGTGGAGCTGGTGGGGGCTTGGGGCTGAGTTGACGGTGCTGGGGGCGCTGCGGGGAGGTGAGGCGAATGCGGTACACGACAGCCTGGACGGTGCCACCGAGGAGACGGCGTGGGAGACGGTCACCGGGCGGCTGATAATGGAGTTCGACAGCCCAGCGGACGGGGGGGAGGCGCCGCAGAGGTTCCGGTTGGCGCTGCTGTCGGCCGATGGTGACCTGTTGGTGCTTGCTGTGGAGCTCACTGGATTGCGCCATGAGGAGTGGGCGGGGCACAGTCTTTGGCGTCGCAATTTATCGAGTGTGTGCCTGCCACCGTGTTCCAGCATCGGGAACTTGTAAACGCTACACGTTGGGTAGATGCCGTATCCATTCCAGACCAGTGATCAGGAACGATGACCGAAGTGGTAATCCGGCATATTGTAGCGTGTCACGGAATACGGAAGGTGATATTAGCTGACCAGGGGCTCTGTTTTGAAGGACTACGACGACAGCTTATTAAAAGGGGGGACGAGTGTGGTGCTGTGGTGCGAACTACTTATAAGTAGTATATAACGTGAGTGTCAACGTAAAGTCTGGTAGCATAATATGGGGGGAAGATCAAGAAAGGAAGAGTTAGAAGAACACAATGGAATTTGTATGAAACGCATGAATAGTGACAATGGAGTGATGTTTTGCAACAGGAACAGTCCAGTTCCATAGGATGAACTGATCTTTTGCAAATGAACGATTTACGATATGGTTTTCCGATTTTACTGAGTAACTCTGTAATTTTCGTTAAATACAATTCGGTTGCCCCACCTGTGTTCTCATTCACTACAGTAGCAGTAGTAGCAGTGGATGGACTTTGCTTCAAAGCAGAATACTTTATGACTGATGATGATACCAACTCAGTTAGTTGGTAGAACTTCGTTCGTAAGTACATCAGTTCAAGTTGCCATACCACATTAGCATACAGCAACCAAATTGTCAATTCAAATCCC